ATTGATAAGATCATGTGGTTCTTGTCTTTTGTTTTATTTATGTGATGGATTGCATTGATTGTTTTTCTAATGTTGAACAATCGCTGCATACCTCGTATAAATCCCACTTGATCATGATGAATTATTTTTTTGCTTGTTACTGAATTCTGTTGGCTAGAGTTTTGTTGAGGATTTTTGCGTCAATGTTCATGAGGGATGTTGGGTTTTTTTTTTTTTTTTTTTTTGTTGTTTTTTTTTTTTTTTTTTTTATTGTTTTGGTTGATGTTACTGAAAAAACCACAGAAAATAAAATGCACGAAAACAGTCACAGCCTTAGGATGCTAACTACTACGATGTGTCAATCTCCATTTGGCCATTGCCTTGAATTCACTCATGCTTCTGGATCTCCATTGCTCTGGCTAATGGATTGAGTTTCCAGCCAACTTTATTTTACTTTGCAAAGGTGGCGTAATTGGTTCTGAGTATTAAGTGAGGCTATTCATAAACAAATGAAATTGTTAAAATATTTTTGACTGAATGATAAGCTATTATCTGAATTAAGTGCTGGAATCAGAGTCTCGTGTTCTTGTCGAATCCTTTCTGGCTTTATCCACATGGGCACATAATTGTCATAAGGCTCCAACTGAAAAGGGAAAAAGAAAAAATAAATCCCATTTCCTATCATTGTTCCTACTGGAATTTTAAACTTATGAAAAACATTGTAATGATATGAAAAATATAATAAAGAGAATTGCAAAACCTTGCTTTGGATTACATTATATCACATTATGAAGGCAAAACCAAATAAAAGTAAGAGTTAACAACAACATAAAAAAACCTAAATAAATGTATATGTCTAGAAAGGAAGATTCAATAAGGTTTCAAAATTCATACACTCAAAGGTATTTTTTATGATTCATGCATGCCTAAGAAAATTAGTAAAGATGAAAGAAAATTGTAAAGATGTTTCTTTTGTTTCCTGTAAGAACTTCACAGATTGGGGGAAACTCCAGAAAATTCTTTTTAAAAGACTTTCAAAAATTCACATTCACATGAACGTCCCTTTTCTTCATAAAAGAGTCTCCATTACTTAATAGCATAGAGAAAAAGTCTAAAGAGTCATCTCCTATATTATTAGGTTGAACTTAAACATTGAGATGGATTTCACAACTGGGCTACACCAAAGCTAAGAAGTTGCCTGAATACAATCAAACACTTTGAGAGACAGAGTAGCAGGGGTAGGGGTCTGGGGACCATGCTTTCAGGGGACATCTAGGTCAACTGGCATAACAAAGCTTATTAAGAAAATGTTCTGC